GCTCCCAATGCCGCCGAACTAGGGCTCTCTAAGGCCCCTCCCAGGTCTCGGAGTCCTAAGGTCCACTGTGGTGGGAGAAATAGACAGTGGAGCCTTTGTCTGCCTTGGCAGCTCCACCCGCCCTCTCCCGATGGCACTGCACCTTCATCAATTAAAAGGCGCATCCTGTGTGGCACAAACGGTGCCGTGTTCAGCTACTAACAGGTTGGCAGTTTGAGCCTACCCAGAGGTGCCTCAGAAGAAAGGCCTGACAATCTACTTCTGAAAGATCACAGCCATTGAAAACGCTATGGAGCACCATTCTACTCGGACACACACAGGGTCTCCAGGAGTCTGAATCAATGGCAATTGGTTTGGTTGTGTGTTTAATCAGTTAAAGCCAGAACTTACATCTGAAGCCACTGGGTTGGCCGAGGACAGAGAAACCCTCCTGCAGTTGCATCATGGTTACCCCTGCCATTTCCACGGCTCCCTGCTGAACCCACGAGCCCATAACAAGAGCTTCTGTAAGAGTCCTGATTCTGCTGAGGCAGCGTTGCATTCTGAAACCCCGTCTCCTCACACTGGTGGGGCAAGTGTTCCTACTTTACCTTTTAAGTTCCTTAAAACCCAGTTTCTTCCCCAGGTAGGTGCTTCAGATGGGAGCTTTGCTGTCGCCGGCTTGGGGGATTGTCTGGCCACTTCTGTGGGCATACAGCAAGCTTGACTGACTGCAGCCCTAATATTGGAGCAGGCCCGGCAGGGAACACCCTGCAGATTCCTGGCCAGTTGGTCTAGAGCCCTTGATTGTCAGGCACATTGATGTGTTGCACCGTGACACGAAATCCACCAGCACCGTGAGGCAGGGATGAAGGTGGTGGTTTTGCAGACTGTGGTGCCAAGCCCCACATGCGCCCTGTATTGCTGCGGGCTTTGGGTTGACTATTTGCACAATCCAGGAAGCACAGAGGCGGAAGCAAAGGCCGTAACAGTTGCTCCTCCCAGCCAAACCCGGCCCCGCCAAGCACGCCTGCAGTGGCGCTCCCCACCGTTAGCCTGCCGGTCACAGGCTTCAGTGAGCGCCCTGACTCCCCTGTGGGTGAAGGGGCAAGTCCGTTATTCCTGGCTTCTGTCCCCAAGTGACTGCTTTTGTCATGTTGGTTATAGAACACTGAGATTTGAAAGACTGTTGTGTTTATCCGTTAATACTTCTTGATCACTTTTAAAAAGTGAATTGAAAACCTACCTAATAATCAGCCAAGCCTTCCCGGCCTCAGAGTAACTGCTGTTACTGCTGTTCTAGTGACCTTGGGCTTGGTTTGTTAACCCTTGTGTGCCTGGTTTCCACTTCTGTATCATGGAAGCATGAAAACTACCTGCTTGAGAGGTTGTGAAGTTTAAGACAGAATCACGGTGGTTTCAGCACTTTTTAACAGAGAACTACAAACCAGGTGGCGTGAGACAGCAGGTCTTTACTCGCTCACAGTTCTGGAGTCTAGGAGGCTGAATTCTGGCAGAACTGGCAGGGTGTGGGTTCTCTGAAGGCTTTAGGGGAAGATCTTCCGTTGTGTTTTCCAGCTTCTGGGAGCGCCAGGCATTCCCAGGCTTGTGGCAGGAAAACGGTAGTTTCTGCCTCCACCTTCGCTCAGCCGTCTTCCCTCTGTATGTGTCTCTGTGTCGCTGGGTCTCCTCCTCTTCTGACAAGGAGGATGGGCCCACCTACTCATGTTAACGGATTCTGCAACGATGCTTTTTTCAAGTACCGTCACATTCACGTTACTGGCATTCCGGACTTGAATGGTTTCTCGGAACACACAGATCAACCCATAACACCTGGATCTAGACTCAGACTATCTGGTTTGTACCTCAGTTCTGTAAACTGAGAGTAATAATAAGATCTACTTCGTGAGGGCTACCATAAGTTTTCAATAAGTCAATCTTCATCAAACTCAGAACAGGGCCAGGCACGTATAAACCTGTTGCCGTGGAGTCGATGCCGACTCGTGGCGACTGTATAGGACAGAGTAGAACTAACTGCCCCAGAGAGTTTCCAAGGAGCATGTGGTGGATTCGAACTGCCGACCTTTTGGTTAGCAGCCATAACTCTTAACCACCATGTCACTGGGGTTTCCAGAACAGGGCCAGGCACATATAAACCCGTTGCCATGGAGTCGATTCCAACTCATAGCGATTGTATAGGACAGACTAGAACTGCCCCATCAGGTCTCCACCACGGCTGTAATCTTTACGGAGGCAGACTGCCACATCTTTTTCCTGCGGAGCGACTGGTAGGTTCGAACCGCTGACCTTTCAGTTAGCAGCCACCTACTTAACCACTACACCACCAGGGCTCCTATTTGTCACATATAGTAAGTGTATTTAAATGTTTACAACATGTAAATACTCATAATAGTGCCTGGCATATAGTAAAAGCTAAATAAATATGAAGTCTTACTCAGCTAATCCCTACCCAAAGAAAAATTGAGATTTTAATCCTGCTCGGGTGGTTGATTTCTGTTGGGTTTTGGCATCATCCTCTGGTTACACGGAGCTCTTCGGTCTGGGAACACACGTTTGCTCAGATGCCTGCGCTAGCTGTTCTGCATGAAAGATAGAAGAAGGAGGAAGTTCAACACTTGGGAAGAATGTTTGGGTCAGCACAGGTGTGTCCATGAAACACCCTGGAGCCCTGCGGTCCCCCAGAAATGTCCCAGAGCCAGCTGGAGACCCTTGAAGGGCAAAGGCAAACTATTAGCAGGATTACAACTGTCTTCTTCCATCCCTTACAGTGGATGGAAGAAGGAATCACAGGCTTAGACCCAGGGCTAATCCTCTGGAGACCTGCAGAGTGGCTAGAACCTTCTCTGACTGGTGAAAGAAGGTGGGTGATTTGGAAAAATTATAAGACAGTACCCTAGTCGTCTCTGTTGAAGTGTTCATCCCTGCATCAGGGCCTTTGCACATGCTGTTCCCACTGCCTAAAATGTTCTTCCTCGGTCCTTTTGTCCCACTCTCCTCGGCTTTCACCTAGCTAACTACAGCTTCTTCTCCAGCTGAGTCAGGACCAGGCAGACTTTGGAGTCGAGGTACCCGGATTCATATCCCCACTTTGCCCTCTGTCATGGATTGAATTGTGTCCCCCAAAAATGTGTATATCAATTTGGCTAGGCCGTGATTCCCAGTATTGCGTGATTGCCCACCATTTTGTGGTTTTCCCATGTGTTGTAAGTCCTGTCTCTATGATGTTAGTGAGACAGGATTAGTGGCAGTTATGTTAATGAGGCAGGACTCAATCTATAAGACTAGATTGTGATTTTAGCCAATGTCTTTTGAGATATAAAAGAAAGAAGCGAGCAGAGAGACTTGGGGATGTCATGCCACCAAGAAAGAAGCACCAGGAGCATAGCACGTCCTTTGGACCCAGGGTCCTTGCACTGAGAAGCTCCTCAATCTGAGGAAGATTGATGACAAGGACCTTCCCCCAGAACCGACGGAGAGAGAAAGCCTTCCCCTGGAGCTGGCACCCTGTATTAAAACGTCTAGCCTCTTAGATTGTGAGAGAATAAATTTCTCTTTGTTAGAGCCATGGTGTTTCTGTTACAGCAGCACTGGGTAACTAGGACATTTTCCACTGTGGTGTTTCTGTCACAGTAGTACTGGGTGACCAGGACAGCCATCCACCGTGGTGTTTCTGTTAACAGCAGTACCGGGTGACTAGGACAGCCATCCACTGTGGTGTTTCGGTTACAGCAGCACTGGGTGACTAGAACATTTTCCACTGTGATGTTTCTGTTACAGCAGCACTGGGTGACTAGGACAGCCTCTACCAGCTGTTTGACCTTGGGAAGGCAGGGACAAATTCCATGCTGTGAGGAATGATTGTTGAGTCTCAGCTGAAATGTCATTTCTTCTATCTAAGGGGAGACACCTCCACTTACGTAAAGACAAGAACCCTGTGTCCAGGGCCACCATGTCAAGTTCAGGGTTGTACCTTGGTTGGGTTTCACTTTGATGTGGATTGACCTTGGGCGAAACCACGATGAAATGTGACCAGCGTTGGAATTTTACTTTACCGTGTGCTTCTGGTTTTCATTTCATATTGCTTCTCTCTTTGTGTCCCACTGATACTTACTCCATAGGTATTAGATCGACAAGGGTTCTGTGGTGAAACAAGACTGGGAAAGGATGGGTTAAAGAAGGTGAAACCATACGCCAGGGTTCATCACAGCACTATTCACAGCAGCCGAAATATCCATCAACAGATGAGTGGACAAACAAGATGTGGTACACATACACAATGGAGTATTGATCAGCCATGAGGAGAAATGAAGTCCTGATACATGCTACAACATGGATGAACCTTGAACACGTTATGCGGAGTGAAATAAGTCACTTGCAAAAGGACAGATATTGTACGATCCCTCTTACATGAAATATAAATGTGCAAATGTATAGAGGCCAAAGTTCATTAGTGGTTACAAAGGGTGGGAGGGAGGGGAAAGGGGGAGTCATTGTTTAGGGGGCACTGAGTGTCTGTTAAGGGAATGGAAAAATTTGGAAACAGTGGTGATGGTTGGCCAACATGTAGAACATGATTAATGTCACTGAATTATACATGTAAAAATGGTTGAAATGGCAACTGTTCTGTTACTTATATTTTTACCACAATAAAAAAGAAAATCAAACCCCTTGTCCTTTCCACAGGACTTCTCAGAGACTTTTCTATGCTAGTGTTTTGTCTGCTTCCTGGGGGGAGGGAGAGACCGCCATGTTGCCCAGCATCATTCATCACGGAACCCTTTTCTCATGAGACGCGGTGCGGTGTTGGCGTCCTCAGAACACACCCTGGGAGGCCCTGCTTTGTTTTCTGTGCTCTCCCACCACAGATGTTCGTGCTTCTCGGGATGTAAACCAACAGAAGGCGTGTGATGTGGCACAAGCACTGCAAGACTTTTAAGTGTGTGTCTGTAGCCTGGTGCAGCTTATAATTATGCTTTTCTTCTCCCTCTTTCCCCAAACAGAGAAGGAGACTTTTCTGGATCCTTTTGTCCTCCGAGACCTCCTGCCTGCCTCCCTGGGCAGCTATTACCGGTACACAGGGTCTCTGACCACCCCGCCATGTAGCGAAATCGTGGAGTGGATCATCTTTCGGAGGCCTGTCCCCATCTCCTACCGCCAGGTAGATATTAAGCCCCCCATGGGGCTCGGGGGTGTACTTGTTGGTGTTGGTTTAACTACCTGACATTTCTAGAGTACTCTGGTAAGGATTTTTTTGATCCTCTGCTCTTCATTGATTCCTTCATTCTTTCATCCAACAAACATGTTTTGAACCCAAGAATTATAAAACAGAGCATGGATTCTCTCTCCAAATTAATTGACCAACTGAGGAGAATTGCAGGCATGAAATTTAGATCATCTTTAAGTATTCAATCTGGAGGAAATAATAATGGCTATCCTCTACGACTGGAGCCCAGGGGACCTAGTGGTTAAGAACTTGGCTGCCAACCGAAAAGGTTGGCAGTTCGAATCCACCAGCCACTCCTTAGAAACCCTATGTGGGAGTTCTACTCTGTACTATACGGTCGCTCTGAGTCGGAATCGACTTGATGGCAGCGGGTTTTGGGGGTTTTTTTGTTTTTATTCTCCGTAACAGTGATGGAATCCCTGGGTGGTATAAATGGTTAATGCGCTCAGCTGCTAACCAAAAGGGTGGAGGTTTGAGTCCACCCAGATGCACCTCAGAAGAAAGACGTGGTGATCTACTTCTGTAAGATCAGCCATTGAAAACCCTGTGGAGCACAGTTCGACACTTACACACACGGGGTCACTATAAGTCAGAGTCAACTCAGTGGCAGCTAGTTTTTGTGACAAGGATACCTTGTTCTAGGGACTCTTCTAAGCTCTTTATGTTTGTTATCCCATTTAATCCTCAGGAACAACAATCTTAGATGACGTACGTACTACTTGTACCCCCATTTTACAAAGGAGGAAATGGAACGCAGAGGTTAAAAAAAAACAAAGTTGTGGGAAGTCACACAGCTGATTACCAAGCCGTGTATCTGACCCCAGAGATTATGCTTTTAACCACTAATCCTACACAGGGTCCCGAAAAGAGAGAGATTCATGTATACGAAGAAATGAAATAAAAAATACCACTGACTGAGCACTTTCTGTGTGGCAAGAACTTTCCTGAGCACGTTACACACGTCAGCTTCATCGGGGCAAAACAATGTGGAGAGAGAAGTATTTTGGTACCACTCGACACACGAGGAGTCCTGGTGGTGTACTGGTTAACTGCTCAGCTGCTAACCGAAAGGTCAGTGGTTTGAACCCACCAGCCCCTCGTGGGAGAAAGATGTGGCAGTCTGCTTCCATAAAGATTTCAGCCTTGGAAACCCTATGGGACAGTTCTACTCTGTCCTACAGGGTCACTGTGAGTCAAAATCGACTTGATGGCAGTGGGTTTTTATACACATAAAGACACTGCAGGGTGGAGAGACTAGGTAACATGCCCAAGATTCATGCCCAAGAGTGACGAAGTCAGAAACCAAGTCTGAGTGTGTCCACTTCCAAAACCCACGCTGTTGACCACTAGGCTGTACTGCCCCCCTCTGATTGTGGCCGGCGCAGATTTCATGGGAAGGCGGGATTTGGGCTGAGCAGTTAACTGTGGTTAGAAATTGGGTAAATAGAGATGGAGCTGAAAGCAAGATCAGAGGAAGAAAAACCATCAGTCAGATGAAAGGCCTTGAATTCACCTCATGAGGGATAATAGATAGGGGAAAACTCTCAGAGGGGACATGTTAGTTGTCAAAAATTCATCACGCGCTCACGTGGAAGAACAGTAAGATTTCTTCTGTATGATTCTAGAAAACAGAGCCGGGAGCAACGGGTAGGGTTTATAAGAAAGAGGATTTGAGTGATTAACCAAGACTGTCTAAAAATGGAAGAGTCCTATCAAAGCCTTTCGTGGAAATGCCTCCCCAGAGCTTGACAGCTAATGGTAGGGACATTGTAGAGGGAAGGGGGGAGTTTTGGAATTTTATGTGATAGTATCGTTAAAGTAATTGAAGATACAGGGAACAAGATTACGAACCCAGCTGCGTGGGGGATAAAAGAAAAAAACCAAACCTGTTGCCGCCAAGTCGATTCTGACTCATAGCAACCCTGTAGGACAGAGTAGAGCTGCCCCACAGAGTTTCCAAGGTGTGCCTGGTGGATTCGAACTGCCAGCCTTTTGGTTAGCACACACAGCACTTAACCACTACACCACCAGGGTTTCCGCATGGAGGATAGTCCAAAGATTTTGTTAACAAGGGCAGAGGGTACAGAACTCAGGGTAGGGGAAGTAGAGGTGGGTGGTGTCTTGTTCAGACCCCTTTTGGATTTAAGAAACAGAAGGCCTCTATAGTAGCTCACATAGAGGGGTTATTTCAGAGAAACAACAGTAGGGACATCGTGTGATGAAGCCAGTTGAGTCTCTTCGTGAGCAGGACTAGAACTAGAAAGTGAGGAATATGCTTTTCTCTCTTTCAGGGGCCATGTGGTGCCTTACATCTTGGAGCTTCTGCCTTGACCTTGTGGTTCTCTGCTTTTGCAAAATTCTGGTCCTTTCTCTCTCCCCGCTTGTTTTCTCTTGATTGCCTGGCCCCATATGGGTGCTCTAGTACCAGATGATCTTTCAGTTCAAGGGCTCACTACCCACTGATAACAGTCTGAGTCAAGTAATTAAAGAGAGTGGATCTAAACAGACATTGGCCAACCTATAAGTTGGTTGGCCTTGGGTCATGTGTCCATCCTTGGTTAGCTCAGCCGAGGAGCTGGATAGGGTCCCAAGACCTACAGTGTTGACCCTCTAGGAGTAAATGGGGCAGGCCGTCTAGACGGAGCTGTGAACAGAGAGACTGTTTATCCCTCTGACAAAGTTAGATGGTGTGGGGCAGGCTAGACAGATTTATTTGGCTTCACTGCTGTTGATAGACATTTTACTTTGAGATTTTGTTTTCTTTTAATTCCACTTTGACGGAAAAAAAAAAAAAGAAAGCCTGGCAGTTTGTTTTTTAGATTGTTTCTGAGCAAGATCTGTCAGCCTTAAGGAGATAATGAAATATGAAACACATTTTCTTCCTAATGGCGAAGCCAACATTGTTTTATTAAAATACAGTAAAATTACAGTCCAAATATTTATATTCTCAGGGTCGGGGTGGAGGGAGGGACTTTTAAAAGGGATCCTTTTTGTTAACTTAGGAAAGTGCCTTTTTTTTCTTCCCCCAAAGATTTAAAGGCTTGAGATAATGAGGTTAGGAAATACAAGTTTGACCACTTTTTCTGTGAGATGCCTTGTGAGGAATGAGGCAAAGGATGGTAGCTGATTAGCTGGGGAGAAGTAAGAGCCGTTAGCACGTACAGTGTTTTATTGCAGCTTTAGATATTAAGCTGGGCCAAACCAAAGGCAGGGCCCTGGAGCCTGGATGTCTTGTCAGAAGGTTGTGACACCTGCTAACTGGGGCTCTTAGAAAGTGCCTTGTTAACATGACTTTACTCTTCTACTTCCTTCTTCCCATACACTCAGAGAAAGAAATAACGGAAGCGTTTTCTCTGTGACTTCCAATCCATGACTTCTCTGTAGGTACTGTTGGAAATAGTGAAGAACTAAATTAATCTGATGGACTTCTCACCTTCTTCACTGTAAGCATCATCTGACAAGACAGGTACCTCCTGCTTTTCAAAAGTTCACTTTATGCTGCTTCGTTTTAACAAAAGACCTTCATTAGTACCTGTTTTCGCTAACGGGAAGAAATCCAAAGAGGATTTTTGCCTTTAGAAAAAAAAGACGAAAATCGGAAATAACGTTCAGCGTTTGTTACGCAGTGAACGGCGCACCCCCAACAGCGAGAGTGGTGCCTCCACGCTCCTTCCCGGGGAACTGCAGCCGACATTCCAGCTTTTACTGTATGTTAGTGTTATCGTAGGTTTTTTGTGTTATTTGGTACGATTTGGTAGGTTATTTTTTGGGTCTGGGAACGCTCAAGAATTTTTTCCCCATATAAATTAATGGTAATAGCTTCTTCACTTTTCACCATTTTGCCTTACAAAAGGCTTCATAGGAGCTCTCTATTTTCGGATAGCACAGGAAACCTGTACTTTTATCAGGTGCTGCTTCACACATATCCCCATCTTTCTCCTCAGGGGAGAAACAGCTCATTTTCATGTGGCCAAACTAGATCCTTGCTGCATGGAGGTCACAGCTGTGTCAGCTATCGGGAAGGAAAGCATTGGCCCTCCAAGTATTACTGCCTCAGACCTCCCCACACTGACCCTGCCAACATTCTTTCTGAAGTTAGCACAGAGTGTCCATTTCAGAAGGGCGAACAGCCAATTCGGAAAAGCCGAGTAGTCAGGAATTCCAAGTCTGCTTCTGTCAGAAGGAAAACCCTCCTAGTCGTTCATTCCTCCGCTTCTCCAAAGTCTCTGTTCCCCGTCTCCTCTTCTCTCTCCTCGTCCAGCATAAGTGCCTGTAAGCGAAGAAAATGAGAGCATGCACACCAAAAAATACAGTGGTTAGCACAAACTGTTGGCTTGTATAATGTGGATTTCTTTCAAGGCTTACAGAGTAAATAGGAGCAACCATTCCTTTTTGTTCTTTTTGTGAGTCTGGTTGGACATTCAAACCAGCCCTGTAGCCCGTGAACTATGCCTCTGGTTTATGTTATAATGTGGACCTAAATACGGTGTTGCTAGTGGAATCACATGTTGGCTTGGTTGGCCAGTAGTCTGTGGGTTATATGACTCCACTGAACATCCCCTGTAAATATTATTCCATGACCTTGTCATCCAAACAAAATGGCGGCACTCTCAGCCTGGGGTGGGAGGCCAGAGGAGCCAGGGCTAGCACACAGAGATAGTTGCCCGCAGTGTGTTCATGATCAGTCAGAGAAGATGACCATCTCTGAGTTCAGTGTACTTGGATTTGTTTTATTATAGGACAGTAGTCCTCAGATAATGATTCTTTGGCCATTGGTGACAATCCCAATGCTCCCTTTCTGGAATCTTTGCCTCCTGTGCTTTAAAATATGACACAGCTATAATTTTCCCCAGCATGAATTTTAGTTAAGTGCTTACTGGTGGTTTTATCAAAAAGGCAACCAATTAAGTCTGAATAAGTCTAGTTTGTTTAAT